AAAAAATTAATTACATTTTTATATACTAGCCATATGAAAATGAAATTAAGAAATACTGCTATTCATATAGATGCATTAGTAATAAAATCAATAGAAATTAATTTAATGAAAATAATAGAATATATATCATCTAAAATCTACAAACATCATTGAGAAAAACTAAGGAACATTTAAAACAAGAGTAAAGCATTCTGTGTTCAGGCCTTGGAAGGGAGTTTTTTAAGACAAAAATAATTCCTCTAGAAATTTAGTATACTCTCTCCCCTCAAAATCTCAGCTAGTCTCTTTGTAGCAATGAACAGACTGATCCAAAAATTTATATGAGTTAGTGTGTGACAGATCTTTTGCATCTTCATTTTGGTCGCCCTGCTACGCACAAAAGACCTTTTTCCCTTTGAATTTTTTGAAGCCTCCTCATTCGTATTTGTGTACATGTATAAACAGATACACACATGCGTGTTTATGCACATGTACACACATGCACACATATTTGCCATTTTAGTCATTTTGAAGTGCAGAATTCAATGATATTAACTACATTCATTATGTTGTGCTACCACCACCATTTTCCTTTGTTCTCTTAGCCCCTGGTTCTCACTAATAAACTGGGCTCTGCATTGGCTAAGACCTGTAGGTGCCTTAAGCAGTTTGCACTCAACAGCTCACCTTCCACAGTGGTACTGTGCTTCAAATATTACAGCCAAGAAAATTCTGTGGAGCAATTCTATTCTGCAAAAACTGCAGTAGCAGGAGTTAGAATTGACTGAAAACTGACTAAAAACTGACTCTAGTTATTGTATGTAAGTGGGAAATATAGTATTTGTCATTTTGTATCTGACTTATTCACCTGAGTGATCTTTTAAACACTTAATTCAGATGATATGACTGTATTACCTAACGTTCTTCAATGGTTCCTTGTCGCTCTCTGAAGTTGGACTCTTTACAAAAAAGGTCTGGCTCTTCTCCTCTGTCCATCTGACCTTATCTCATTGTCTCTCTCAATCTAAAGACCATTTTATTGGGGGCTCGCACAGCTCTGATAACAATCCATTCATCAATCGATCAAGCATATTTGTATAATCTGCTGCCATCATTATTTTCTAAACATTTACTTTCTATTTGAGCCCTTGGTATCGTCCCCCCCCCTCCCCGCTCTCCCCCATCTCACCCTCATGATCCCTTGATAAATTACAAATTATTATTTTCATATCTTACTCCAACTGCTGTCTCCCTTCCCCTGTAGTTTCTGTTGTTCATCCCCCCAGGGGTGGGGAGGTGGTTATGTGTCAATCATTGGGATCAGTTCCCGCTTCCCCCTCTCCTCTCTCCACCTTTCCCCTACCCTCCTGGTATTGCTACTCCCAATCCTGTTCCTGGATTCATGTGTCGACAGCTCTTATCGCTTATCTGTACCTGTGTACATGCTGCAGTCTAGCCGGCAGTGAAAGGCAGGACTTTAGTAAGTGCTCAATAAACATGAATTGAATGAGTCAATGCCATGGATTTGGAGTCCTTTGCAATTTCTGTATTCTGAGAAAGGGCAGTTGGG